GTTGTCCTTTTGTAACAGATCTAGTTGAATGACCACTTCCAGAATTTGATTTGGGCAGCAATGCACAGAGAGTTATAGATGGACAGGAAGTCGTCCTGCCTTATAGATGGACAAACAGACTGTAATACGTCTTGCTTTTGGACAAGCGTCAAAAGACAGGTGAGACTTACTGTTGCATTATGGGTAGTGGAGGACAGGTCCCGACATTCGCCCAACAGAATGGAAGCTCCAAAGATGACGACTGTGGTCACCATGGAAACCAGCAGACTCTCCAGGACTCTGAGAAACAAACATCAGGTTTTTAAAACCTGCGGTCCTGAAGACAAACTGCTGGATGGACGCGACGGTCAGGTCACCTGAAGAAGCGGGCCTTGGGGTGGACGTGTCTCATGCGGTACTTGGCCAGACATTTGTTCATGCAGTTGAAGAGCGCCCCCAGAAGGCCGCCAACCAGACCCATCAGGACGAAGAAGGCCAGGTCCACCACTGTCCACAGGTGGCACGTCTTGTCTCCGTCTGGACACTACGATAAAAAATAAATAAATAAAAACTGCTGAAAAAAGAGAAATTGCATTTCCTGAGAAAATGCTAGTGTAAATGCCTGTTGCTGAAAAGTTCAGCTGAAAGCTGCTGAAATTGAGCTGAAAATGTTTAATAGCAAAAGTATTATTTTAAGTTAAACTTGATAGGCTGAAACAAGCAAAAAAAAACCCCCACAAAAAACAGTAAAAAGGAGCAAAAATATAGCTAAAATAACATAAAGAACTAAGCTAAAATAGATGAATAAAGCAGAAACTGTAAGAAGCATAAATAACTGAAATTAGCAGAAAGAAGCACAAAATATTAAAAATTAGCAGAAGAATAACAGAAAAGGACAGACATATAGCTAAAATGAGGAGTTGACAGAAACCTAGAAAAGTTTAAATTTACAAAAATACTTGAAAAGGCAGACAAAAGAACCAAAAACAAAAGCTGCAGACTTTTACCTTAAACTCTCCGAAGTTGAGCAGGCCGGGCAGCTGGAAGGACCCCCACTTGTTGAAGTTGATCCCGGAGCGAAAGAAGTTCAGAGTAAAAGTGGCCGACATGGAGCAGAAGAGCTGAAGAGCAGAAGAATCATCTGATACCAGATCTGACCTCTACCTGTGGACCCTGGTCCGGTAGTAGGACGTACCACTTTCCAGGTCAGGGCCTGGTTCCAGAAGGACGAGCCCTCCTCCAGGCTGAACAGGGTCCCCCCGATCGGCGCGCCGAAGGCCGCGGCCACGCCTGCAGCGGCTCCCGCCGACACAAAGTCCCGTTTGTCCCTGAAAGAGCGGACGCTGTCAGCCAGCAGGTTTGAACGTTCAGAGCTGGGTCACAGGTGGACACCTACCTGTCGCTGCGGAAGTAAGGAAAGTCAAACTTTATCCTCCTGAAAGAGATGCTCTGAAACTGAACGAGACGAAAACACAAAGCTGAGAAACAGCTACAACTGCAGCTCTTATAAAGACAGGAAGACACATGTCCACTGACCAGGAGACAAGACAGCATGGGACGGAGAGGACAATGATCAATAATCTGATTAAGTTTCTGCAGCAGCAGATCTGACTGAAGGTACCTGAGGAAGTCCAGCTCCAACGATGGCTCCACTGTGGATCATCGGACCTTCTTTCCCCACAAACAGACCTGAAGACAAACATGGAGTCAGAGTCCTGATCTGGAGTTCTGAACCCTGAGAGGACAGAAATCCCAACTGGGATCTGATTATGGGAACCTCTGATGAGATATTTTGCTAACAGTAACCTGCAGCTGATGAGACTGTCTCCAGTCGCAGTAAATAAATGGTTCTGTACCTCCAGCCACGCTGAACAGAACTCCAGCAGCTTTGCAAAGGAACGTTCTCAGCCGAACGATTCCAGGAATCTTCACTCCGTTCAGGTAACTCTTGATTTCTGGAATACCAGAACCTGCAGCGACGGGCTGCCGGGCCGAAGCAGAAACATTCATGTTTTCACCTCACAGCATCACATCAACAGTTAGGATCAGACATAACCCTTGCAAGAGCATGATGGACAAGGTAAGGCTTGGCCTTAATAAAAACTAGACTGGACCACTGCTCAAATCTGAAGGTAATGTCTAAAATATCCCCAAGATTCCCATTACAGTGACCCAATGACCTCGGTTTTATTTTCCACCAGATCTTCAAGGTAAAGCTGGATGTCATCTGCATACAAATGAAATGACACATTGGATTTTATGAAAACGGATCCATCCCAGTGGAAGCAAATAAAAAGGAACAAAAATGGCACCCAGTATGGAGCCTCGTGGAACCCCAAATTTAAGAGAGGCCTCTGTGGAAGAAAACTCTCCAATTTAGACAGAAAAACTCCTAACAGACAAATAAGACTCAAACCATTAAAGAGTAACAAACTGGTCCAACCTTGAAACCATCAAACATTTGCTTACGTCATCTACATGAAACTAATGGCTATGTTCAAAACCAACACGGCTAATGAAAAACAATAGTTAGGTTAAGCTATAATAATCACAAGAGCATCATGGACAAGATAAGGCTTGCTTGATAATAAAAATGATAAAAACTAGACGGGACCACTGCTATGACATGTCTGTCAATTATGAAATTAACATCAAAATATCCCCAAGATTCCAAATGAAATGACCCAGTGACCTCTAATTTATTTTCCTCTAGCTCTTAAAGATAAATAAAGCAGCAAGCTGGATGTCACCTGCATACAGATGAAATGACACATTTGATATTATGAAAACAAACCCCAGTGGAAGCAAATAAAAAGGAAAAAAATAATGGAACCCAGTATGGAGTCTTGAGGAACCCCCATTTAAGAGAAGCCTCTGTGGAAGAAAACTCTGTAATTTGAACAGAAAAACTCTTAGACAAATGAGACTCAAATCATTAAAGTCTTTTGGACCAACAGATGTTCCAACCATGAACCCATCAAACTTTGCTTACTCCAGCTATGTGAAGCTAACAGCTATGTTCAAAACCAACATGGCTAATGAAGAAAAACAACAGGGGATGTACAGTTTAGGTACTGTATATCCCTTGCAAGTGCATCAGTGATGCAGTAAGGCTTGACCTTGATAATAAACCTTAAATGATAAAAACTAGAGTGGACCACTGCTCAAATCTGAAGCTAAAGTCCAAAATACCACCAAGATTCCTAATAAAATAACACAATGAGCTCTGTTTTATTTTAATTTAAACAAAGAAACTTAAGCTCCATCCATGTTTGATCATCCTTTTAAACAACTCCACAGATTCTCCACACACTGAGCTTCACAGATCTTCAAGGTAAATAAATCTGGATGTCATTTGCATACAAATGAAATGACACCTTGTATTTCTTGAAAATGGACACCAGCGAAATGAAACAAAATGGAAAAAAATGGGCCCCAGTACGGAGCCTTGAGGTACCCCTGATATAAGAGGGGCCTCTGTGGAAGATAATTCCAATTTGGACTGAAAAACTCCTATCAGACAAATAAGACTTAAACCATTAAAGAGCAACAGAATTTTCCAGCCAACAAACTTTTGTTAACTCCAGCTACAAAGCTACGTGAAGCTAACGGCTATGTCCAAAACAAACATGGCTAATGAAGAAAACAGTTAGGAGCTTCAAGAACAAGTCAGAACCTTAAACTAGTTTCTCCGAAGGAAGTCAGTTATTTACAGGAAAGCTTTATCTTGAGAAAATCTGAAGCTAAACCCTGCTGCTGATGTCCTGTCAGACAAACTTACCTCGATGAGGACGAGGACGCTGGCGATAAAGACGAAGGTCATGTTGAAGCACAGCAGCTCCAGCAGAGACAAAGACAGGCAGCCTTTATCGGTGCACTTCTGTATCGCTGCAGAGGTCATGTAAGGTCAACATTTATTGTTCTTCTGTTTTCTAAAAGGAAGATCTCACTGTCTGAGCTTTCTGCACCAGAGCCCAGTTAAAGGATACAATCACCAACCAGGGAGAACTTGATTTTAGTGAAGAGGTGCACAAAGAAGTCCACAAACAGGCCGACCTGCAGGAGACACAGAGACGTTCTGTTCATCTGAAACAAGCGGGTCGGGCCGAGCTGCGTCTCTGAAATGTGACTGACCAGACCGACGGTGACGCCGATCACAAACACCATCATCCACCGCACCGCCTCGTACTTCCTGGCTTTCTGTCGGCAGAACAAAGACGTGTGGGGATTTTCTTTAAAAACAGAAAACTGCTTTAAACCTGAAACAAACAGGAACTCTGCAGTTTGTCTCACCTTGTTGTCCAAACTCTCCAGAACCTCCACGTAGGGCTCGTTGATGCAGCGGTCATAATCCAAGCTCTGATTAAAAAAACAAAAAAAAAAAACTGTCAACATTTGCTCTAACATGTTAGAATAATAAAAAAATTACAAAGAAACACAGGAAACATTCCATCAACTCACGTCACAGGACAGAAACAGGAAGAAATTGTCTCCATTTTTTACCCAAATATAACAAATAAATATTTTATCGACGGGTCTTTTGAAAGAAAAGTTAAAAAATAACTAAATAAATAAATTTACTCTTAGAAACAGACGTATATATTCTGATGAAACAATAAAAGTCGTGAGTGATCTGATGAGATGATGTCATCCCCCACAAACGCACAACTTTAGATTTTAGGTTTAATATCTGTAAAAAGCTGTTTCTGTTCTTACAGCTGTGTTCACCATCCAGTGATTCATTACTGGAAGTTCTATTCAAATTAATCCACTGGTTAATGAGATATTTTGCTAACAAATATTCTATTTGCTAATACATATGAGGGAAATCTGGACGACTCACCTCATAGTCTTTCCTGGGAAGAATTTCATCATCATCTTCATCTCTTATTTCTCCAAGAATCGTCTAATATTAGAAAAACATGTGAGGATTAAAAACCCAGGCTGACAAGAAACTTTTAAACAAAAATAAAATAATCAGATCAGATTTTTAACAAAACCACAAATCCATCAAATTCACAACAATCCTCACCATGATCATGCACCAGACTCCATTCAGAAATCTGCTACTTTTAGGTTCCAGAAACACAACTAGTTGTTGAAACTCGTGTAGCTTTTTCACAAACAAACATCTTAAAGTGAAAAAAATTAAAATAAAATCCGTAATAAAAACTACCTACAATAAGTTCAGGGAAGGAAAACTGCTGAACAACAAGAAGAAAATGTTGATTAAAAACAATAAAATCCTTCAATAAAAGTGTAGCTTTGTGAGCACAATGACAGAAAATATTTTGTTTCAAGACTATGTTGTATTTTAGGATTTATAAATCTAAATAAATAAAAATAAAACAGCTGTCATATTGAAATAAGTGAATTTAGGCTGTTTTTTGAGTGAAAAACACTGAAACTAGGAGCAGCCAACAGGGAGACTTAGAATAAAAAAAAATACATAAAATTAATTCTAAAGATCCGGATTAGGTCATTAAATCATCCACAAACAGATTAACCCAGCTATAATCCCGTCTTTCCTCACCAGTTCCTCCGGTGTGCGGGTCTCTCCTTCTCTGCAGCAACATTGACAACAAAAACAGTTTCTGCAGCACGCCATCTTGGCTGTGGAGTCATGCTGCCTTCAGGGACGGTGGGAAAAAGCTCAACCAACTTCAACGTCATGACATGAAAACCTCCTACAGAACCTTAAAGTGTAAGTTATCATTAACTTGTTTGAAGTAAAACAATAAATGCTTCATAGTTTGAACATGTTCTCAAATTTAAATAAAACTCGTGTAATGAAAGGCAGGTTTCCCGTGGTAACTTAATGTTACATGTCACCGGACGTTTTTTTAAAAAACTTTATTTAACACAAGTTTAGTGACAACACTGTTTGCAGTCTTGGCACCTATTAACTTCCATTGTCATTGTCAATGTCAACTTTATTTATAAAGCACTTATAAAAACAGCTAAAAGCTGCACCAAAGTGCGGAACAGCAATCCACAAATATCACAAAACCACAATAATTGCTAAAAAATACATAATAAATTACAGCCAGCAATAGTAAGAACAGATAAATTACAATAACAGGCCTTACTTTAATTAAATGCCACTGAAAAAAAGTGAGTCTTAAGAAGCACTTTGAAGTTTTCCCAGCGATGAGCAGATCTAATATGAAAACACAAGTTGTTCCATAGTTTGGGAGCAGACACAGCAAAAGTACGAGCACCTCTACGCCAAAATCTGGATCTTAGAACATCTGGAAGCATCTGGTTGTTTCACCTCAATGTTCTAAATGAAGAATGAACATGCAAAAGATCTTAAAGAATTAATTTAATTTCCATTGATTTCCTGACATTTCTGTAGCTTAACCTTGACCATAAACTCAGCCAAAACAGTAGGACGGTCTTTAGGCCCCTAAAGCAGGGTTCACAAACGTTTCTATGGCATGACCCCCCAAATAGCATTAGCTTCTAGCCAGGGACCCCACTTGCAAACCCACTACAAAATGTGTAAAGAAACAACTTTTATAATGTTTTTTCTTCTCACTTTTCTTCCCTATTTAATAATTATAGTATTTGTTTAGCGTATAGATTTTATTAACATGTTTTAAACCAATATTCCCACTGAAAAACCAACTTTTCAAACTGTCGTTGATCGGAACAGAAAAAAAATCTAATTTTACTTTAGCTCTCTTAAATAACATTTCAATATACTATTATAACTTTAAACTCAAAACTAATAGAAAAAAAGATTTGATTTTATAAAGATTTAAAACAGGGTTATTCAACTAAATTGCTCCGGGGCCACAGTTAATGCAGGCCAACAGCACAGGGGATAAATATCCAGCAACTATAGTCATTATGAAAATACAATTCAGTTCAGTTTATTTATATCCACAAGTTTCTGGAAACGTGCATGTAGATGTAGGCTGCACGAGTTTTATAGCTAGATTGTATGTTTGTTCCATTGTGAAAAAAATAATTATGACCCCCGCGTGCAAAGCAGGGGTCTTATTGTTTTCATACAGTTTTTTTGTTTTGTTTTTAATTTTAATTTTAATTTGTTTTGTTTTGTGTTTTGTTTTGTTTAATTTTGTTTCCAGTGATTTTTGGTCAACCGTAGCACAAAAACGGCTGCACTGATCAACATGAAATTTGGCAGGGCTGTAGCTGAGTCCACCTGAGCCATCCTATGGTTTTACAATAGACCCCATATTTGAGGAGGGGGCTCCATCTAAAAAGGGGCTGTCTGGACATGCAAAAATGCTTATAACTCAGAAACTGTTCAACATAGGAGCTTCAGATTTTTTTAATGAACCCAATAATGACTGGAAAATGCATAATTTTGAGTAGATTAAAAGAAACCTTCCAGGGGAGCATGTCCCTGGACCCCACTAAGACCAGTTCACTCCACAGCTGTTTGTTAATATTAATGTGTCTCATTCATGTAGGCTCCAGACATTCTGTTTTAAATTTAATGTATAGTTGTTCAATGTTTTAGTTGAACTATACTTTTTAATTTTGTATGTGAATATACGTAAATAAGCAGTGAGATTTAGAAAATTGCATTGACAAATATCTTCCCTCGGGTCTTAGCCCTGCTGGGGGTAAACACCCCTAAATGTCAGATCCTAGAATTGCCCCGGTGGTTTGGGCAGAAAATTGTCCCTGCTACAACCACATATAGACTACAGTAACTCCCTGATAGTCTCTCAGTCCAGCAGAGAGATGTGCGGTGCAGTGGCTTCAGCTCATCGTTCCTCTGTGGAACAGCACCTGTCATCAGCAGGGGTGCAACGAGTGAGGGTGGCTGAGAGGGGCCATGCCCACCCCCAAAATTTGGTGGCCTCACTAGTTTTATTTTTGCTTTGTGCTCATTTTAATTCCCTACCAGAGACAATTGCTCTAAGACTGCAAGGGAAGCTCAGCTTCCCCTAAAATGTAAAAAAAAGTGATCAAATATATACTGTTGTGCGTACATGTCAATGACTAAATATGCACTACAACGAGCTCAACTTTTGTTCAGAATCAGCTTTTATCACTGGTAACGACGCGACTTTCCCCTCACTCATTCCTGCAGCTTCACAGAGCTTTAAACAGTCGGACGCTGAGCTTCCACAGGGTTCAACAGTGAAGGAAAGACTGCAGCCAAACGAGACGAGTCATTGGATAAAGGCTGGCTTTGTCCCGCCCATCGGAAGCTCAGCGTCTCTGGGGGTCTATGGGTCAGTGGGCTGGCCTCAGCTGGCCCAGACGCTCAGCTTCTGCATGATGATTGGATGATCTGTCAGAGGCTGAATCCCTTTTTGATTGACAGCGAAATGAGCGAATCAGCGATCTTTTCATGTAAACATCAGTGGGAACATTTTTAAGTTTCATTCTGTTCTGAGTTGAACCGGAGACTTTATTAATCCTTTTAGCAGCATTTTCTTTGTTAAAAACAACCAGCGATAAATCAAGCTTTTATTTCTGGTGTTTTTTGTTTGTTTGTTTGTTTGTTTGTTTTTTTGTTTGGTTGTTTGTAGCTGCTTGTGTTTAGAGACTGACTTCTATCACACTTTCTGACTTTTGTGTGAAATATGAGGCAGAATGTGTTCTTTTTGTTTTTGATATTGTTTAATTATCATTACTTTTACAGGGTTCTGTATGTTTTATTCATGATTAAATGCAGACAAATAAACTAATTCAAAKGTAACAGATCTTTGCAATACTTGGTTTATTTACATAATGACTTTAATTGCTGGATGTTTGGCCCATCAGCTGTTGACCTGCAGGAACTGTGGCCCCCGGAGCAGTTTAGGTGAACAGCCCTGCTTTAGATTATCAGGTGAAGATTAAGGATCTTCAGGAGGAACAGGTACACCTGAAAACATTTTACCTGACTGTTGTTTAACAAATCTCACTCCACTATCTTTACATATGCACTTTTCCAAAACAATGTTTAGTTTAGTTTAATTCATTTATTCATTTCATTTTAAAAAAATAAAAAATTAAATTTATAAACAGCAAAAAAATACAAATCCCAATTGAAATGAAAGGAGGCAGAAAGAAGAAAAAAATCTTAAAATATCTGCCTCTTTTTTCCAAAATTCATTTCAAGCAATAAAAAGAAACAAAACAAAATAAAAACTTCAATTCCTTCTCAAACAACAGCTTTTGACGTACATTATACAATTTCCTATTTCTTTAACAAACTTATTTTAATCATTCTCTCAAACAAACACATTGAACCAACATTTTTATAATCACTTTCCAGATTATTCCACAATCTTATTCCTCGAACATCGGTCCTTCAAGTTTGTTCCATTTTTAGGTTTTATAAACATCTCAAGTCCCTTAGATTATAAGAACTTTCTCTCTTAACAAAATATAACTGGATGTTTAAAGATAAAATATTTTAT